TCATGTGAAAAGAACGTGCCATAGGAGTCTACAAGTTGCCTAAGTTCAATATTATCAGAGTCCAAGAGGTTTTCCATTTGTATATTAAAATAACCACCTATAAAAAATTTAACATTTAATAGACAGTACTTGTTTAGAATGGAGTTTTTTTTTTTTTTTTTTTTTTTTTTTTTTTTTTTTTTTTTTTATTGTTTATTGTCGCAATAGATTACATAAATTGAAATACACTTACAGTAAAAGTGTGTAAATAGATATTAAAGAGAAACAATAATGATTAGAACTATAATACAAATTAGGGGCAAATTTTTTGCTGAATAAATAAAATAGAATAAGAGATAAGTAGTAATGAAAATTACTGGAGTCAGCTAGGGTTATTGTTAGCGACGCCGGGATCCGCCAGTTGGCATGCATCGGCATATATCTGTTGGTCTATTATTTCTTTTTTGTTTGTGAGGACTATTTTAATATATGTACAAATTTTGGACCAATTTTCTCTAGAATCTAATAAACATTTTTGGAAATTTACGGTGGTGAATGTCTTTTTAATTTCTGTCTCTAGAATAACTCTCTCCGAATTAAATTTATTACACAAGAAAATAGAGTGCTCTGGAGTATCGAGAGCATCAGGGCATTACGGGCAGAAGGGGGATGGTGAGATTTTCATACGATGAAGGTAGCTATTGAAGGCGCCATGTCCAGTTAGAACCTGCGTTAGGAAGAAATTTAAATCGCCAAATTTCCCGGTAAGCCATTCTTCCGGGTCCACAATGAGTTTCTTAAGCCAGGTATCTTTAGAAGGGTCCTGTTTCCATTCCGTGATCCAGTCTTCCCTGATCGCAGCTTTGATGGTGGGTTTGTCCGCTTCACTATGGTAGAGCTTTAGCCTTTCTTTAATCAGATGATTTATGGGAGGGATACCACTTATCATATCGAGGGCTGTGTTCGAGGCTGTCCTATATGCCATGCATATACGCAGCTTGAGAGGACGAATGGTTTTTGTAAGAAGCTTCTTGTTTTTGTTTGATACTCCTCCTGCGGCCCAGACATTAACAGCGTAAAAGATGATCGAGAGAATGGCCGATGGGATAAGCTTCCTCTTCATAAACGAGGGTCCGTCTATGTTCGGAAGAATGCAGCTGAAGGATTTGATAGCGTTGGCGGCTTTCTCTGATATTTTCTTGAAGTGTGTGTTACGTGATCCGTCTTCGTCGAGCCATACACCTAAATATCTCATGAACGGAGCTGGTGTTATAGGGTGATTTACCACTTTGAGCTTGCATTTCCTCTTTTTCTTCTTCTTTTTTCCCACAATTTCGAGGGCTTCCGTTTTGGAAGGTTCGAGAGCCAATTTAGCTTTTGCCAATTCTTCGTTGATTTCAGACGTTATTTGATTGGTGCTTTTTGTGAGTTCTCGCCTTGTTTTGGTTTCAATAATGATAGCAAGATCGTCAGCATAGGCGATCTTTTCTGCGACGGATTTTGTTGCGAGATTTACAATTTTGTCGTAGCACACATTCCAAAGGTGGGGTCCAATGCAGCTACCCTGTTGTACACCGGAGTTGATTTCAAAAATGAGACCATTGATTGTGATGTACCTATCTGTAAGGTAGTTTAGAATTATCTGGATTATATAGGAGGGGATGTTTTTCTCCAGTAAAGACTCGTGAATGTCCCTCCAACTTAAGCTGTTGAAAGCATTTTTGATATCCAAGGTCAGTATGGCCATTGAGGGACGATGTTTTTTGTCGATATTAAGGTTTTGAGTAATTGCATTTCTGACTTTGTTGATTGCGTCTGTGGTGGAGTGTCCGCGACGAAAGCCATGTTGATTTGGGGACAATTCTAGCTCGGGGAGGAGTCTTCCGATGATGATAAGCTCGAAAACTTTGCCTAAAACATTTAGCATACATATGGGTCTGAAGGATTTTTCGTTTTTCCCAGGTTTACCCTTAGAGATCAGTGTTAAGCGACCTTTCTTCCATTCGTTGGGGAAAATGCCTTGTTTGAGGTAGTTATTGTACATTTTAAGGCATTCCTGTTTATTTGATCTTATAAACATTTTAGCAAGCTCTGGGTTTATTTGGTCAGGGCCGGGTGCTTTCTTGTTTTTGATTTTGGAGAGGGCTCTGTCAAGTTCTTCGGTGGTGATGTCAGGGAAATCCTCTTGCACGAAGATAGGCCAATCGCATTTCTCGTGTGTTGGAAATAGTTTATTGATGGCGGTTATAACTTCTTGATCTGAAAGGGAGGCTTGGTCATGAGTTGGTGGGGATTTTAGTTTTCTTTTCCTGATCTTGTAAGCACGACCCCAAATGTCTTTTTCTAGCTCATTAATCCAACCGCTCCAAAGTTGTCTCTTTGCGTTTTTCATTTCGATGCGTAGATTTCTTTTGTCAGCTCTAAGCTCGTTGAAAAGGCGATCTCTGTCTTCTTTGTTTTTTGTGCGGGTGATAAGTCTTCTCGTTGACGAGCATTTTTTCTTAAGATGTTGTATATCATCGTTCCACCATGGGGTAGGTTTTTTTCTGTTGTTGCTGCTTTTCCTTTTGAAAGTTTTATTGCATGCCTGGGTGATTATTTGCAGACAAGTCAGGGCTGTTAGCACAGTGTTGATGGTTGTATTTTGTACAGCTTGTTTGGTGTGCTTGGTGAAATCCTGGAATTTTTCCTTCTTGAGCCACCAACCTTGATGAGAGGTTTCTTTGGAGCTAGACTGGTTGGGGCTGTTTGATTCATAACTGATTTGGAAGGTAATGGTGTTGTGAAAACTCATATTTTCTTCGGTGTGGGTGATTAAGTTAGTTAAGCGATTTTGAATAGACGAAGAAGCGATGATAAGGTCGATATAGGAGTTTCCCATGGGACCAGAGAAAGTCGGCGTATTTGAGCATGGGTCGTTTTTGACTATCAGGTCGTTTGCAGAGAGCCATTCGGAGAGGATCTTGCCCCGAGGGTCGTCTAGGCGGTCACCCCATTGCGTCGAGCGACAGTTAAAATCGCCCATAAGAATAACAGGTTTAGTTCTGCTTTTCAAATTGTGGTCAAGTTTATTTAAAAAGTCTCTGAATTGAGTGATTGTTAGAGCAGGTGATGGGTGAATATAGCAGCAGTAGAAAACGATGTTATTGTACTCGAATGTAACGAAGCCGGGGTGTTTTTCCCAATTGGTGCATCCCCCGATAAGGTCAGACGTGGTGAAGACCGCCACATCGTTTGAAGTATCAAGAAAATTTCCATCGAAGGTAGCTTTGTAGATGTTTGGTTCAGGCAAAACAATTATTCCTGAACAGGTTTCGGCGGCCAGCTTCTTTGCTGCGTCATGAGATTCTGGAACTCTGCCTGTGTTGCATAAAAGTGCAGAAAAACTGTTGGTCTTTTGGTTGTTTGCTTTCTTACGAGCCATAATTGATTTTCTTGAGCTTCGCCTCCAGAGCTTGGATGAAACAAGGGCAGTTTTTATCGTTGATAGCGTGTTTCAGGTTGTCTAGTTTCCCGCTGGCAATGCATGCTGAACATTTGTTGCTGTTTTTCTTTTTGCACTGGTCTGATTCATGATCGGGAGAAGCACAGAAGAAACATAGCTGGTTTGGGGCTCTGCAGAATTTAGCCGGGTGGCCATAGCGGATACACCGATAGCACCTGGTTGGGGAGATTTCATCGTAGCATACGCAGCAAGAGAAACCTATGAAGACTTTTCTAACATTCATGATGGTGTGTCTGATGATGGGATTACATTCGGCTAAAATTGTTTTGGTGTCGTTGGCTTTGTCGGATTTTGTCTGGTAACTTTTTAAGATTTTAAAACCTTCTAGGAACTCAGATTGGGTAAATTTTGCATTTTTTTTTGATGAAGTCATTTTATGATATATGTCATGAAGGATGTCTTCGTTCGTCATATCATTTTCTACATTTCGCAGTGTGATTTGCGGGTTTTTTAGGATGACTGGGTTGCATTTGATATTAGCGGCCTCTTCCAATTTACCTTGAATAATGGCTAATTGGGTATTGTCATTAGCTGTGATTAAGACTGTGTCTTTTCTTTGGGTAATTTTTTTTATTTGTACGTCAGTGCCTTTGAGATTTTTTCTTACTAAGGCAGGAAAATCTTCTTTCATGGTAGTGTCGTCAATAGTTTTAACTTCCATGAGATGTGTGTCGGTGTTTGGGGTGCGGAGATTTTTCCCGATTTTTATAAGGGGGGTGATGAAATCACCTTTTGTAGTATCTTCGATAAGTTTCTCCAGGCGTTTTGGTCTCTTGCGATCGGAAGAAGTGTTGTCAGCGGTAGGAATAATTTTCAAGGCTTCAGAAAAATTTGCTGTGTTTATTTTGAGTTCGTTTACCGCGGTTTGTATTTTTGCGTAACCGAGTTGAGCATCTTGGATTATGTTTTCCTTTAAGTCATCTTTAAAAATTGCCAGTTTAGAATCGAAGGTTTCAATTTTAGATTCAATGTTTTTCAAAGAGTCAAAGATTCGAGTATCCGAGGGGGTAGTCGGGGATGCTATTTCTTTGGTAATAATATTTCTTAGGTTTTGACAAAAGGCGTTTAGGCTGTCTTGGTATATGTCTGCGAGATTTGGAACATGATTTGCGAGGAGCTCAAGGTTTGGGATGACCTTAAGTATGTCCGTTAAAGATTGAAATTCGCAGCGGAGTGCCTCTGATGCTACTTTTCTTTCTGTTGTTGACGTCATATTTTGGGTTTGATTTGACCGATGATGGAGAAGGCGTCCGGGCGATGAATGCGATTTCTTTAGAATGGAGTGGAGAGTTTGGAAGAAAATGGCGGAGTTAGCTGTTGGTGGTCTATATATTGAAAAAACAATGTTATTTGATTTTTTTAAAATTTTTACTGCGCAGATTTCAACATCCGCATTATTATATTCATCACAGTCAATTGGTACAGCATCCATTTAATCCAAATCCTAATTAGGGATACTTTGCTCCTACCTTGTGACTTTGTTCTAGTTTTTAATCATTTTCGTTTTTATTTTCAGGACCAAAAAAGACAAGGTAAATTTGATCAAGAAATCTACAAATATCACAGACAGGCTGCTATCAATTAGTCGCCATCTAGCAGAAACCATAGAACAGAATTCAAAGACCCTGGATTCTCTAGGTACGACTTCTGGAGCCCAAAGATTTCCTTTTACAAATACAGGGTGTTTCATACCACCTGCACCAGGCTTTTTTCTCCGTTTCTTTTGGTCAGGTGAATTTGGAAAAGGCAGAGTCGAAGAGGACTTGGGCCCAAACCAATACAAATTTCATGTGCCTTAAAAGGGGAGTCATGACTTTAAAAGTTTGGTAAGGTTTCTCTTATTTTTGAGTTTTGCCACATTGAAATTGGTCAACCCCCGAAGAGTTTCTTTTAAGTCTCTAGAATGATCTCCCAAAGGGAAAATATTTTACCCCTTGCCTGGAAGGGCTTGAATGTTAAATTCAAAGATTTTGGCAAGCAACTTATCATTCCTGAAAGAAAATTACGAGTTACTGTTCTTCAGGTAAAAATTTCGTCGGTTTTGGGTATTTTGAAATGTGAAGTCCTAAACGGCCCTAAGGCTAAAAACTAAGTAAGGCTAATGGGCTGGCTGCTGAGTGCGGAGGTCAATACGCAAGCCGCACAAGGGAGGGAAGTGCTCGAGCGCCCTGCACCTTACTGCAACTCCATGCTATGGAATGAAGTTAAGTAAGAGGTAATAGAGCTGAAATTTAAGACAGAAATTTAGCAGTTATATTATTAACAAGGCTGCCATACTTATTGACGACCGAGAAAAAGATGTTAGCAATTCTACTCATATAGACATGCGGAAACAACTCTGTGTTTGAAACACTTGCTGGCCAAACAGCAATTTGCCAGTAAGAAATCGCCTTTGACCACTAGAAAATGAAACTAGCAGCTAAGCCTTGGCTAAGAAAATCGTTGTTAAACTCCGTTTTTGGGATTTTTCGAAGCATTCTGCAAGGTACCATGTTGTATAGTGTTATCAATTCTTCCCCTCTGTCTTCGTCAAGTTTCGTGACATATTGGGTCTTGTCCTAACATTATGGCATTCGGCTGTTCAATGAAGTATTCCTAACTTCAGGCATTTCGTAAGGGCAATTTTTCATTTTGCCCCCTAAGAAAACAACTTGCAGACCAGTTGGCTGTAGACTTCATGCCAAGTTTCAAAAACTGAAAACAACGAACAAAAATAAACTCTCTTAGATGAGCAAACAAGAAAAAATTAAAATTCAAAACTACAGAAAGCAAGATTGCAATTATTCTGCAAGCATAAAATATACAAATGATTATAAGTAGGAACGAAAGTGAACACCCTTTACAAAAAATCCGTTTGCAATCATTGTCCAAACATAATAAATAGAAATAATTAAGTGAAAAATTAAAATGCATTGTTTGCCATCGACAAGATAAATGCATTACATTTTAGGGCTTTATTTCCACGGACCGTTTCAAGAGATTTGTTCCAGGGAAAAATCCCAGTTAATGAATTTTTTTCCCAGTACCAAGTATGGTCCTTGTACCCCTAGGACCAACTGATAGAGGAAGAAGAAGTGAAAGCAAACTATATACGACATTTTGTTGGTAAATCCATTGTTCGTGTTTGTTTAGTTAAAATGATGTGTTTAACCGTCAATTGTGTTCAATAATCAATTTAATCCTGGTTAAACACCCGATTTTTACTAACTTTACCTTCCCCGCAAACTTGTGGCAAGACTGTATGATCCTCATTCCGTAGAGATGGTAACTGGGAAAAATCCCAGAAGTTTCATTCCTGAGATTCCAACTTGAGACAAATCCCATGGAAACGTCCCGTGGAGACAAGGCCTAAGGATTCATGTGAAAGTTACCAAGTTACCGAAGTTGTGAGATTTGTAAAAATTGTCACATAACAAAATAATGATTAGAAATAAATAAATTCCAACGCAAAATTATAATATGATGGAGTCCAAAAGATTTCAAACTGAAATTCCAGTTTCAAACTTTTGAACTGTTTTGATGCTCTCATATCTTGAAAACTATTGTTTTTCAGAGTCAAAATGTGGTTATATATTAGCTGAAATACGCGAAGTGGACAAAGCCAATGAACTAATAACTCATTAAAAACCACAAAAACAGTGACATTTTTTGCAACACGACTGAAGCACTTATGTGGTCAATCTTTTTGAAGTCTATCCATTTTTCAATTGGGTAGAAGCCATTCTTCCCAAACTACTAAAATGTGGGGCCGGCAACTGGAAAATATCAGAAGAATCGTGCACTTTTGGAAGAAAGCATGAAATTCATCTTTACCCTATAGACATCCGATTTAGACATAGGTAGACCCCAAAAATCTGAGCTCCCAGAGGGGGAGGGGGTAGGGCGGGACTTATTTTTTTAAATCGACCAAACCAAATGTCGTACGGTCCTAAATGATTCTATGTGATAAAAAACCATGGTAGCCAAAAGTATTTTGAAGAAAAAATATTTTAACCTGGCGCGCACAGAGCCTAAAGGTCGTTATTTTCCCGGTTTTTTGGCATTTTCACCGTCTCTTTTTGATATTTTAGTTAGTGGCAGGGATTTGACGCTTGATGTCCAAAAATTGGTCCAAAGGACTACGTGCAAAACGGGCCATTTGGGGCTCGGGGAGGATACTTTTGAGACTTGCCCTATTCATTCACCTAACAATGCCCCATCTTTTCCCAAAGTTTCAAGCCCCCCAAAAATTTTGGCGAGACGCGGCGGGGGGTCAAAGTTAAAAACCGGCAAAATTTTCGCGAATTTCTTACTCGAAAACCAAGAAGTTTTGGAAAACGCGGTTTAAACGAGCGTATTCAGCGTGACGAGAGCTTTCAGAAAATGTATAACATTATAGGGTTTTGTCAACTTCAGCTCGAGTTATCGCCTCCGAAGCGCCGGAACACTCAAAAAAGACCCCTTATTTTTTCACGTTTGGGCCGATTTAAAAAAAAGCCATTTTTTTATTTTGATGAAAAACTGATATGTTGTTCCTGACTCTCTGTAGCCCCTCTAGCTCTTTACCGCATGCTGGGGAAATGTTTTGGTCGCGAGTTATAAGAGCAAAAAGGAGCGAAGGTCGAGAAAATCGGCTATTTTAAACTGCGCGCGCGGCGTTGATCGGAAGGAAAACGTCCCCTCCCACTCAGTTCGGCGAATCACACTCCACTGCCGACCTCGCATTGTTGCCACATGTCTCCTGATCCGTCGCCGCGCGCAGTTTAAAATAGCGGATTTTCCCGACCTTCACTCCTTTCCGCTCTTATAACTCGCGACCAAAACATTTCCCCAGCATGCGGTAAAGGGCTAGAGGGGTTACAGAGAGTCAGGAACAACATATCAGTTTTTCATCAAAATAAAAAAATGGCTTTTTTTTAAATCGGCCCAAACGTGAAAAAATAAGGGGTCTTTTTTGAGTGTTCCGGCGCTTCGGAGGCGATAACTCGAGCTGAAGTCGACAAAACCTTATAATGTTATACATTTTCTGAAAGCTCTCGTCACGCTGAATACGCTCGTTTAAACCGCGTTTTCCAAAACTTCTTGGTTTTCGAGTAAAAAATTCGCGAACATTTTGCCGGTTTTTAACTTTGACCCCCCGCCGCGTCTCGCCAAAATTTTTGGGGGGCTTGAAACTTTGGGAAAAGATGGGGCATTGTTAGGTGAATGAATAGGGCAAGTCTCAAAGGTATCCTCCCCGAGCCCCAAATGGCCTGTTTTGCACGTAGTCCTTTAGCACATACTGACTCGGCCCCAGCCAGAGAGAGAACTCGGAGGACCAGGCCAATCTACCGAAGGGATTGTGGGGCGCTCTCACAGTCGCGATGACATCATAAGACAGTCGATGCGGGTTTCATCAGCGAGCGCCCGAGAGAAAAGAGCGAGAGAAAAAAGGGAGTATCCACATTTGGCGTACTCAGAGAGAAAAAGAGAGAGAGCAAAAGGGAGCATCCACATCTGGCGTGCTCAAAATGAGAGAGAAAGAAAAGGGAGCATCCACATTTGGCGTGCTCAAAATGAGGGAGAAAGAAAAGGGAGCATCCACATTTGGCGTGCTCAAAAAGAGAGAGAAAGAAAAGGGAGCATCCACATTTGGCGTGCTCAAAAAGAGAGAGAACGAGAGGAGAGCATCCACATTTGGCGTGCTCTAGAGTGAGAGAGAGCAAGAGGAGAGCATCCACATTTGGCGTGCTCTAGTGAGTCGGAGAGAGAGATGAACATCCACAATTGGCGTGTTCGAGAGAGAGAGAGTGAGAGAGATGAGCATCCAATCAGGTGTGCTCGAGAGAGAGAGAGAGAGAGAGAGAGAATGAGCAAAACTGAAGAGAGACAGTAAGTATGAGCGTGAAGTCTATGAGACAGAGCGTGGCAGAGTGCCGTGTAGTCTGAGGGACTGAGAGTGGCAGAGTGGCGATGACCAACTGATGTGGCCGAGCATATATAAGAGTGGTTGCATAACCGCTGAGATGATTGAAAATTCCGTTACATAACGCACTTATGTAACGAAAGTGGCCGACACGTGGAGGCGCACGTGCCGCGAATCGATGGAAAGTTCCGTTGCATAACCGCTTATGCAACTTTTGTGGACCGCACATGGCCCAACACACTGCCGCATGCGCCGTCCTTGACGCGGTGCGAGAAAAAATCATACAAGAAAAAATGCTATGAAAACGATACGAAAAATCAGGGTTTTTCAAACCTAAAAGAACTAACTGCTAGTTCACAGAACGAAAAAGGGGCCTCGCCCCGACACATACCTTGTAGACTAAGGAAAATTTTTTGTTTTTCTCGTAGGTCACTCTCACTTGGCTTGGTGATGCCCATTTATTCTGCTCGGCAGCTCTAAAACTCGAAATTTCACCGTTTTTGAACGTGTAATGAACTTTTTGGGCAGCCTATAATGGTAGTAAAAATTCGAAAATTTGTGGAAAGCAACTCCATACCGTCAGTATGGAAGGGCAAATTTCAGAAAACTCCTTGGTCTTTTATTTTCTGCCAAGCGATGCCTACTATTGAGGGAAACCCGTCAAAAATAGCTCAAATTTGAACGTTTTCCCCCTTCGAAAATAAATTGTACACCCTGTAATGACTATTAAGGTCCAAAAATTTTTGGAAAGTAAGTTCATACCGTCTGTATGAAATAAAAAATTTTACTTGGTTCTTACGTCTTACATTCTTCACCCTGCTACGTTCAAAACGGCAGTGAAAACGTCAAAAATACCTTAACTTGGCCGTTTTTTGAAAACATTTTTGAACATCTTGTAGGGGCAGTTTAGGTCCGAGAATTTGTGCAATGTAAGTTCATACCCTCCGTAAGGAATAAAAAAATCTATTTGGTTCCTATGTCTTACATTCCTCGTGCCGTTCCGGCAATCACTTCGAAAACGTCAAAAATACTTCAATTCGGCCGTGTTTTCAACTGCCAAATTTATTAGACACCCTGTATTGACACCAAAAGTCCAAACATTTGTAAAAAGCAAGTCCATACTATCAGTAAGGAAGGAAAAATTTCAAAAGATACTGAACTAATTCGAGACTAAATGCATATACATTGGGTGCATATGTATATTTTCCATTATTTGTTGCATGGTGTCTCCAGATACACGAAAATCTTTAAAAATACCTCCATTATGATCAGTTTTTCGCTCTCAAAATTTGATAGATACACTGTAATGGTAGAGGCGGTCGAAAACTTTGCTGAAAGTAAGTTCATACCATCTTCATACAATACGAAAATCTACTTGGTTCCTATGTCTAACATTCCTTGTTGTTTGGTGTCCGCAATCACATCGAAAATGTCAAAAATACATCAATTCGACCACTTTATTTTCCGAATTTTTACTTTTTCGCTACCCTTATGGGTAGAAGAAGTATTGTTATCCGCCAAGGAAAAAAAAAGAAAAAAGTTGAAAGTTCATCATTTTTAGACGTTTTAAAGTCCCTGGAGTCAAAATAACCATACTAAAAATAATGTATGTTCGTCCGTCAGGCGTCCTCCAAATTTGTTTAGAGCCATATCTCAGAATCTATCTGTTCAATTTCATTCAAAATTTGCAGGGAAGACCATATCTATGGTCTCCTTATGCACGTCAAAAGATTTTAGGGTACGCTAAGATTTGGGGGGCTAGGGGCCAAGGTCGATTCTCAGCAAAATCACACGGAAAGCTCATTTTGAAGGACTGTTAATATTGGAAAAATGCCTTTAATTCTTTGAAAGTGGGCATCAAGCACACCACCTGGGTCATTAATTTACTTAAGTGCCTAGAAGCTCTTTGAAGTATACTCAAAATTCAAGGGATACAAGGCAGAAAAGTAGGGCACTATGCTCTGCGAGCCATGCAGAGGGCCCGCTCACTTTGAGGAACTGTCGATACTGCGGAAGCCTTTAATCAAGTTAAAGCTGACATCAAGCTCTACCTGGCTCATTCATCTTAGTTCTTATTTTATCTTTGAACTAGACTCCAAATTGAAAAGGGGCCCATAACAAATCGCCTTTAGGGCCGAACGTTCAAGGAAACAGAAAACTCCTCAATATTAGCAGCAAGTGTTTTGAGTCAGGCGAACCCTAGGATTTCAAATGCATTATATAGTGCATCATATACTATCTCCAGAATTACTCTGTGTACATCAAGCAAAATTAAATGACTAATTAGGTACTTCCATACTATGAATCATTGAAGCTAATAATAGAGCTGACTCTTAGATCTTTATTGGAAACTAATATGTTTGTTGTTAATGAACTGAAGAACCCCAGCAGATTCCATCTTTCGCGGTTCCTTTTTATGAGGTCCTGAACACAAGTATACTAATACTGCACGAACATGATTGATTCAATGATAATTGATTACACAAGGCACATTTATGGGCCACATTTGTTATTTCTGTTTGTTATTTTAATCCAACTCTAATACACGGGGACATGAGCTAAGGAGGTGGCGTTTTCGACGGAAGGGTGATGAACCATTTCCAACGGGGAGAGTGGAAGAGCTCTCTAGCGGACAATCTTGTATATTGCTAATTCCCAATATCGCTCTAGCCTTTCCCAATGGCCGAGTGGATAGGGCATTCGACCGCCCATTAAGAGATCTGGGATCGATGCTCGACTTCTCCCGCAATATTTTTTAACGACTTAAATATTGATTAGTGATTCTATCCTTTGAAGTAGGTTTTTGATAGCTTTTTACCATGCTTAGGGAAAGATTATAATGTACGAGTATAATCATATCTAAAGTATGATGTATCCGATATGTATCCTATGATGTAGATCCTAATGAATTGTAGAAGAGCTAAGATTTGTAAGGATCGCCGTTTTTACCAGGAGGCATCAATAAATTATTTAATTGAAGATGTCTCATAATATCGACAAGTCAATTCTAAATATATGCAATCATCACATATCCAGAAGAGATTTATGACAAAGTTAAGTAGTTTGAATAAAAATTTCATAACTATCATCGTTCTATCAAAAGTCCATTCGAACTTTGTGATTTTGTGAATTTGGCAGTATTTTTCTACTGATTCCAGTAAAAGTGTCAATGCCGGTTCAGAGCGCCGACTTGAGTGAGAAAGTCTTGTGCGATCGTCGCACCGCGATGGGGAGGGCCAAGCCCCTCAATATGCCGGCGCGAATAAATTGGAAGGCCAATTTTTTTGTAGACACCCTGTACTAACAGGGGAGGTCCGAAATTATGGAAGAAGCAAGTGGAAAGAAAGAAACGGATAAATTTAGGTATTTTTGAAGTTCTCGCTTCACTCGCTGGTGACAACAATAAAAAATATGAGGGCCTTTGGAAAATTGCCGTTCAATTCTGATGTAACACGTATATTTGCTTGTTATATGAGTCGCTGGTGTCAAAACAGGGTGCCAAAACAATTTTGCAAACGAAAAATTGGCCAAATTTAGGTATACGAGGTCTGTTAGATTAGAAACCGGATTTCGGTGATAACTAGCCCACTGTGCGTCCGAATTAGGTTTTCTTGGACTTTCCTGATAACATACTCAAGATCGCTAGATTCACAGATTTTGTTTATTTTGATCAGTGCTCATTCTGAGTCACCTTGAATGCAAGTAAGTCAGGTGCGTTTTGCGATTTTCATCATGCGATCACGGATAGAGCAAATATTTAACATTAAAGGGTAGAGGATTGGTTGACTATTTGTTTGGGAGGCTAAAACTCTACTTTTGATTAATGGTAACACGCAATAATGCTATGGTTAGTTGCAGTAGCATTTCCTCGGAAAAAAGTACTTACCCTGCTCGGAAGAAGGTGCTAGAAATGTGCTTATAAACCAGAACATTTTTAGAATATGTGCTAAGAAATGCTCCCAAAGGGTGCTTTAAAGTGTATAGTTTTTCATTCCAAGACTGCTTCAACCAAATTTTAAGTGGAACGAATACAATTGAAGATTTTTGTAAGGAGTTTTCAATGCTGTAGAGCTGGTGCTGGTATTCTCTTGAGCCGATTGTATTACCTCTTGACTCAAGAGGTCGCAAATCTGAGCTATGCTGTGAGGAATTTGATTTCTTTTATAATGAGTCCTCCGAGAAAAAGGGAATAAAACCAAGGAGCTTGAGCTAAGATTCCAACCTCGTCTTTTATTAAAACTAGGTGAAAGAATAGTAGTTCAGCATTTTCGATCACTGACCTCTATCTTGCACAACTTACAAGGGGAGGCTACCGATTGTCCACCTCAGATCGGGTTCAAATTTTGCAGAGAGGTAGAATAGGTTAATATAAGAAACCGTATTTTTTTTTAGGTGCCAATGCCCAGCCGTTTTTGAGTTATGAATTTTTGAAGTTGCCGTTTTTTCGTGTCAGCGACGCGCTCAAGTTGAGCCTACTGTGCGCGCATCTTTTAATGCGATCCGAGTGTCCCGACGTTCCAGTGAGTCAGTTGCCCAAGCGGTAGCGCGCTCGCCTACGGTGCTGCAGGTTTGGGGTTCGATAGGTACTACTTCCGTGAATTAAAATTTTGCAATTGATTATTTTGTTTTTTAATCGCTTCATCACAACAAATTGTAAGTCACCTTGTGGACGTTATGATTCTAATTAAATTTTATGTATTTTTTATTTTTTTAATGAGTGTGTAACAAAAAAGGAAAAAAATATAATCAGCACCACAACGTCTACAAGGTGACTTACAATTTGCTGTGATGAAGCGATTAAAAAACAAAATAATCAATTGCAAAATTGTAATTCACGGAAGTAGTATCGAACCCCAAACCTGCAGAACCGTAGGCGAGCGCGCTACCGCTTGGGCAACTGACTCACTGGAACGTCGGGACACTCGGATCGCATTAAAAGATGCGCGCACAGTAGGCTCAACTTGAGCAAGTCGCTGACACGAAAAAACGGCAACTTCAAAAATTCATAACTCAAAAACGGCTGGGCATTGGCACCTAAAAAAAAATACGGTTTCTTATATTAACCTATTCTACCTCTCTGCAAAATTTGAACCCGATCTGAGGTGGACAATCGGTAGCCTCCCCTTGTTAAACAGACCTGACTTCTTTTAAGAGGCTTACACATGCCTCAGAGAATCGTGAAACTGATAAAAAGTGTTTGATTGATTGATCTATCGTTAACCTTGTGAGTAGCTGCCAGAAACCGGAAGTGGCAACCACAACAGGGGCAGCCACATTAGAGGGAGCTTCAGATATGACACATTCTGATATTAATCTCATTTTGACGACTGCATCTACTCGCCTCCAACAAAATAATGTGCAGTGCGTTTCAGACATCTAATATATTTTCGAAATTCAACCCATGTGTCGATACCACACTAAGAAAATCATTTAAATTTTTCAAACTATTGTCCTCACTTCATTTGATAATTTTCCTTTTTGGAATTTATCTTCTATACGTATATATTTCTAATTTGTTCACAGTTATTTCCTCCTCGAATGTGACTGGAATCAGAGATGAGCTTAGGTCAACTGGCAGTGTCATAAACCAATCTGGCAAGCTTGTTAGGAAATATGACCAGCGAGAATTCACCTCAAAACTAATGATTTTTGCAGGTTTTGCCTTGTTTTTAGCTGTTTGTCTATCCATAGTATACAACAGGCTCTTTTGAGCAAAGATTTGTTGTTTTTCTTGATTTTTTCATGATCGTGAGAAAAATTAGAGCTCCTCCATAAGTTGTTGTTGAATGAGAAAGAAAAAATTTGCTAAAATTTGTGCAGATCACTGTAACTGGACAACATAGTATTCGGGATACTGAGTAATGGGCCCACACTGCCCCAAATTTGCATCTTTCAGGGAATGTTTTACCTTTTTTAATTGATCTTCTATACTGCCATGCTATGGAAGAACACTGTATGAACATTCGAGAGTTGTCAAATTTCCCTGAATAAAACATGTATTTTTGACGAAATTTATGCATATTTTTCCTTTAAATTCTCAGATATTTTAGATTAAATTGCGTACAATATTATCTAAAAATTGTTGAACAAAACATTCGCAATTTTCACAGTAAAGTAGGTTTTTATTGACAGAAATTTGGCAACGTCTGAAGGCTCATACAGCGTTCTTCCCTAGCACAGCAGTATATATTTCACTAGATTTTGTTTTATTTGATTTTTCTCAAGAAGCTCCAGAGACTTCAACACAAAGTACTCCGGACCTCCTCCTTAGGAAATCGTGTAACAAGCTCTGCTGAGGTGAAGGCAAATGTGAAAAAAGCACATTTTTGTCTTCATATTGCAGTAACTAAGAAAGTGACCAGCTCAAAAAACCAAATCTTGCTTGTAAAACAATGGTGCAAATAGAGAAACCAAGTGGCATAGAAGAAATAGGCCTGTTCATATATCATTATTTAGAATCGTGCTGTATGTTAGTGTCTCAATGTTCTTCCCTAATTTAAAATATATGAAATATCGGATTAAGGGCGTTCATTCTTCGATGTAATTTGACAATGTGTGGTTTCGACTCAAGCATGCTAGATTTGTCTCGGTGCTGGGAGAGCTATAGGTATGCTTTGCACGAGCAACAAAACGAAAGTTGTAACAGTACCATGTTAGGCCTGTTCCCTAGCAAGTCACCTTTATCAAGCGAGCAGTAAATGGCAAGCAACACACTGAATGTGCTCAGCAGTTAGTACAACCAGTGGAGGGCTGCAGATCCTAACTTTTATTTCTACATGGCAGCCCTCTAATTGTGATACTTCAATCCAAAAGATGTAAAAAAAGAAAATTTATGCTTGAACTGCAGGTCGCCATTTTGATTTTTAACAAAACAGCGGCTGGTGAACGTTGGAAGTATGGCAAAGCGAAATCTACCAAGATTCGGGTAAGACTTGGTCAACGGGGATTCTGCGGCACGAGATAATCGAATTTGACATTAGTTCTCGAAAAACTCCATTTTTCTTATTGAAGGCTGTTAAAATGGTGGCTAACGGAATAACCTCGAGTTTCTGAATCGTTTTCCCATAGATTTGCATTGAATGTGGTATACAGGAGTTTTTTGCCATGAGAAACTCAAATCAGTCATTGGCATTCCACAACGCCCAATTCTACAAAAATTGCGTTCCTGAACGAACGAAAAATGAATATTGAAGTCATTTATTCTCGGTTTTCCACAAAATTAATATCGATTTCGGTTTTTTCATGCCACAACACCTCTAGATTCACCCTTAGTTTTACCCTTGGAGTTTTACCCTCATATTGAGAGATTGGATTTTGCTGTACCTATAACTTTGACCTTGATTTTGAGTATATAGGAATATAGTTAATGCATTTTCGATTTGTTCACGGATAAAATGATACCTAACATCGATGTGTTTTGTCCTTCGGATTTTCAGCAAGAGCTAAAGCACTTTGGTTGTCACAGTTGATGGTAATTAGATGTGAAAAGCCAATTAATTCTTCAAGTAATTTTTTGAGGTAAATTGCTTCTTTAGAGGCATCGGAGAGTGATAAGAACTCCGCTTCACTGCTGGAGAGTGCAACTGTTTGTTGCTTTCTACATTCCCATGATACTGCTGCATTAGGAAGAATAAAAGCATTACCAGAAAAAGATTTTCTTTTTAGGTCATTATTTGCCCAATCAGAGAGGGCGAAACCTGTAAGATAGTTTTCTGATTTTTTGTAAGCCAAACAGAAATTGGCAGAAAAGAGCGACGCCAAAAACGACCGTTTTTTGGCACAATTTGGGCCAGCGGGGATTTTTCTGAAACCGGGCCCAAACGATACCTTATGATACCCTAAAACTCTGGTAAAAATTTTATCTTGAGTATACGCCCCGTTTTTGAGAAATGAGGGGGCAAAGTTGCCAAATCGCCATCATTCTGGACAGCATTTCTACAGCAAAAAGACGGGGAAAATGGACGAAAAAGTCAAATCTTTTATGGGTTTCGGCTGTAAATGTTCTCATTGGGCCCCCAAGCATTTAACTCTGTTCAGTTTCAAAAATTTTGGTCGCCCAGTGGTCCACAATGGGGAGAAATCGTCGACAAATCAGGATTCTTTGTCAAATTTTTATAAATGGAAGTAAAATTGTCGGTCTGCTGCAGTTTTCATGGCTAACAATGTTCTTATTGGTCCTCAATGCATGAAAATGTGTTCAGCTTTACAAATGTACATCGCACAGTGGTCAAAAATGGGGGAATTAGTGGACAAATTAAGATCCTCTGTCAAACCGTTGGTCCCCAGTAGAGTTTAAATCCCGGAAAAATTCATGTTTTTATTTTTTTAATTATTTATATATGTCAGACCGTATTGTTTATAGAACGTTGTTATAGAATAGACTTTGTAGCATTATTTCAATAAAATATGCAAACTTTCAGAAATTTAAAAAAGAAAGAAAAATGGAGAGAAAAAATTTAAAAAAGATTTAAATAGTCAAAAAAAGAATTTACAGAATTTTTCTGGGATCTACAGTCTACTGGGAACCAATAGTCATACATCATTTTTAAAAAGTTAGGCAGAAGATCTTAATTTGTCCACTAATTTCCCATTTTGGACCATTGTGCGATGAAAATTTGATAAACTGAACCCAATTGAATGCATTGAAGACCGATTAGAACATTGTTTCCCATGATCTCTGCAGGAGACCAACAATTTTACTTCCATTTTTAAAAAGTTTGACAAAGAATCCTTATCTGTCCACGATTTCTCCCCATTTTAGACCACTGTACGTCCAAAATTTTTGAAACTGAAGACAATCACATGCACGGGGGCTCAATAAGAACATTTACAGCCCAAACCCATAAATGGTGTAACTTTTTCGTCCATTTTTCCCGTCTTTTTGTTGTAAAAATGCTGTCCGGAATGATGGCGATTTGGCTACTTTGCCCCCCCATTTCTCAAAAACGGTGCGTATACTCAAGCTAAAATTTTTACCCGAGTTTTAGAGTATCATAAAGTATCGTTTGGGCCCGGTTTCAGAAAAATCCCTTCTGGCCCAAATTGTGCCATTCTTGGCGTCGCTCTTTAAGATAACGAAGAATGCGTTTGGCCACAGACAAATGTTTTTGATTGGGTTGCTTGGAAAATTGACTCAGAAAGGTAACTGCAAAAGAAATGTCTGGTCGACCGGTAACTGAAAGGTACAATAAAGAACCAATGAGTTGCTGTTAATTTTTTTCTAAGTTAGGATCAGGTGGTAGATTATCAAATTTTGTGTCGATGATTGGAGTAGATATACCCACTCAGCATGATATCTTACAGCAATGGTGTTATTTGCTGATATATGTTGATGTAATGTTACTAATATGGATGGAATGTTAAATCAGTAATGTCAGGATAAGACTGACAATATCAACATTGATGTAAGCTTGATAGTCCGGCAATCAAGGAGATGTCAAGAAGTGTCAACCTCCTGATAACAATGTTAACGGGGGCATATCAATATTATGTAAGATTATTGTAATGTTACTTCAATCTTACTATCAATGTTGTTGCAATGTTCAGGCAAGTTCCTAGCAGTAGCACATCAACATTGATGCAATCTTACTAAGATGGATATAATATGGCTGCAATGTTGATGTGTAAGATGTGCAATATTATATTAAGATTGTATTAAGGTTCTATGCTGAGTGGGTATGGGTTTACAATTTGACATATTATATTTATCAAGTGAATTTAAAATATATATTAGTTTAGGTTGGAAGGGTGGTTGCACACAAGAACAGAACACTGGATTGAGACTAAGGCATTTTATTAGAAAATGCAAATATTCAACAGGCACAAATACAGAACATGATCACAAGCAAGCACGAGCAAGAATGGCGAATGCCTCGTTGATGGATGATGACCATCGGTGAGAGGCGATAGGTAGTGACGTCATGATGACATGACATCACTATCCAACACCTCCCCCTTTACACTTTTTTTTTTTTTGAAACCATTAGGGTATCTCAGTTAAAACTTAAAACTTATTTGAAACCATTGGGGTTTCGTAAATACAAATGATGTGAAACCATTGGGGCTTCGTAATTACACATGATGTGAAACCATTGGGGCTTCGTAATGCAACTGATGTGAAACCATTGGGGCTTCGTACTTAAAATTGATGTGAAACCATTGGGGTTTCGTAATTAAAAATTGCTCTGAAACCATTGGGGTTTCTTTTGCTAAATTGAAGAGACACCATTGGGGTGTTCAGGCTTATAGATACCATTGGGGCATCGTAACAATTGATGTGAAACCATTGGGGTTTCCTTTTACTAATTTAGAAGAGACACCATTGGGGCATCGCTAACAATCAATTATAAAAAACAGTGATCTAAAATATTGAAACATAACAATTACCAGTGTATCTGGAGATTGGTGAATGTAAGTGCGAGAGTAAGAAAAACAAAGTAGGACTTAGTTGAACATATCCAATTTAAGACTCAAAGAATGCGAGTCATTTTAGTATAACACGTTTTAACTCTTCATTTAGATACAAAATTAGGGTCAGGCTTTTTTGGTACGCCTCGACCTAAGTTCCTAAGCCTAATAATGGTAGGACTCACAAGTGTTGAGGGTTGAGCACTTGGAGCTGAAATTGGTTGAATTGCAGGCGAGTTATCTATAATTGTGGAATTTTCAATTATTGTTAAGTCTAATTCACTATTTTCAGGCGTTGACCTATCCAATGAAATGATACTATCAGAGTCACTAGAAAGAGATTCTTCATCGTAAGGTTCTGACTCAAGTACATTTTCTGGAGCACTTTCAGAGTTACCAGAATGTGAATCTTGATTTTGAAGCTCTGTATCATTGACATTTTCAGGGGCACCTTCTGCCTTATTTGATGATGAGTTATTCTCGGTTAGCTCATCATCAAAAAATAAGAGAAGTGCACCTGAATTAGTTGTTTCTTTCACGCTTGTACCAAATCTCTTTCTAATGAATCTAGAATTTCTCCTTAATGTTACTCCCTCATGATTTTCAAGGAGATAGGATCTAGGTGCATTTTCGACTTTCTTTAATATTACAGCTGGATACCAACACTTATTAGTGTCCTGCAACCAGACTTTTTCATTTTCTTCAAAGTCAGGTTTGGATTTGGCACTTTTATCATAATACTGCTTTGTTTTATTTTGAGTTGAAATAATTTTATCAGTCACATCACAAAGTTGCGGTTTCAGGTTTGCAACACTTGTTGGCAGCTTTGTTCTTAGTGTTCTACTCATCATGAGCTGCGCTGGTGATTTATTCAAACTACTAATTGGTGCATTATTATGCTCTAAAATTGCCAAATCCAAGTCTCCATGACTTTCAAGAACTTTTTTGAGAATTAATTTAGCTTTTTTTACAGCGTTCTCAGCCATTCCGTTCGATTGAGGATACCTCGGGCTAGAAGTTTGAATAGTAAAATTATATGCTTTTGAGAATTCTATCATTTCGTGCGAATTAAACGGTTGATTGTCAGCTATCAGACGAGCGGGTATACCGAACAC